TGCGTCCAGTTTGTAATGCGTCCAGTTTGTAATGCGTCCAGTTTGTAATGCGTCCAGTTTATACTGCTTCCAGTTTATACTGCGTCCAGTTTATACTGCGTCCAGTTTATAATGCGTCCAGTTTATAATGCGTCCAGTTTATAATGTGTTAGAAATTCCTGTTTTAATTCACCCTAACCTTGTTTGATATTGTCAGTCTAATCTGAGATGACAATATTGATACTATAGTATTTCACCCTTTAGGATTTATAAAGCTTCACTTCCAATTAAATTATGTTTTAATGTTTTTCTGACCATTTGAAGTGGATTGTTTTTTATTTATTAGGCTGCTTAATGTTGCCGTAAAAGTCATTTAATTTAAATATTCCTAAACTCAGATAAACCAATGCTGTAATAACATAACATACAATTCAGCAAATAACTATTTTAAAATCAGATTTAGGCACGTTGTTGCAGCAGCCAGTCAAAAAGACATAATTTTATATTTTTAGTTGATTATCTGAAAAATACAGAAGTTGAAACAGGTTCATAAACATAAAATAGTATCTTAGAGTAGACACTATACACTAATTTGGGTGGGAGAGGTAAAGCACCCACACCCGCCTCCACCCTTATTTGCCCCACTCAGTGTTGCCAGATAGAGTCAAGGTTTTCCAGCCCAAAAGTTAGTTAAAAACCGCCCCATCACACAACAACCCGTCCTATCTATCCATTCGTCCGTCCGTCTGTCCATCCATGCATCCATCCATCCATCCATGCATGCATACATCCATGCATGCATACATCTATGCATGCATACATACAGATCTATGCATGCATACATACAGATCTATGCATGCATACATACAGATCTATGCATGCATACATACACACACCCTGTAAAGATATATTGGTGTTTATATGTTCATCATTGTGATTAATCAAAATCAGTTAAATGTGAACGTTAGTGTTCTTTATTCAGAAAATCAACACGTCATATTTCAGGAGCTGATCATTATAGACACAGATTAAATGTTCAATATGAATATTTCTATATTTATCACCACAGTAATAGTGTTATACACATTAGTAGTTGTAAACACTAAAAATAATACATGCTGGTTTAGTGCTTACCTTTTAACCTAAACATTTAAGGAGTAAACATTTTTAATAATCACTTTAAAAGTTATAAATGTTGTCTTTTGTGTCATTTTGTTTTACAAATATATTAGTGTGTGTGTGAATGACTGGCATTAACTTAAAACACTTTGTAGAACAGTGCTTTATGAAGTTCAGTTAATTTCCTTGTATCAGTTGACCGGCAGTTCTGCCACATCCAATATGGCGGCCGCTCAGAGTACCGCTGCAACGGGCCAGCCCACTCAACAAGGTGTCTACTAATTGCCTCACCAGTTCTCTGTTGTGAACGCCATGGCAGATGACAATAGCCAATCAGTGATGGAGAAAGGTCAGGGGAGCTTTGCTATGAAATAATGATGAATGATTGTTTGAAATGTATTTAATAGGTTAACTCAAAAACCGCCGATCTGACTCTAAATCCGCCCAAATTATCTCCACCCGCCCAAAGCAATTTTTACCTGCAAAATCAGAATGAAAACCGCCCAATCTGGCAACACTGGGCCCACTCTGGGCCCTTGAGTATGGTTCTTAACCCCCAGCTGCCCACTGGGTGCCTTCACTCCATTCCACAGAGAGGGAGGTGGTAGTTCGGTGATTGGTGGTTGAGTCAGGAAGCACTTGTCATAGAAACAAATAACAAATTTTCATGGGAGTTTGCTCTCTGTGGTAGCTCTGTGTTGTTTTGTGTTGGATATATTGGAGTAATTTAATCAAATCCCAACTAGAAAAAGTAATCTGACATTGGTGACATTTTATGATAAATGTTTCCAAAGGTGGTGGACCATCCTATATGAATCCTTCTAAAATGCTGAAAGGACCCCCCCAAACTGGATGGGTTCGTGGACATCACAAAGGTGGTGGTGGTTACTCCAGAGAGATGCCGAAGTTCATCACTGGTAAAGACACCGTTCTACACATTTCTGCAAACTCACTGCACTGTCATGCACTCAGTTGCACTTTTCTTGTTTCCCAGATTTAAAAAAATGTCTGCTTGAAATTATTCTTTATTTGCTGCAGGTAAAAAGAAGCACACATACTGCTTGATCTTTTAGCTCAACTGCCTTTAACTGGTGTTTTAACAATTTTGTTCAATCTTCTTCAGACAGTCCCCCCAAAAGCGCCTAAAATGCCAGTAAAAGAACATGCCCAAACTAAATTAGATGCTGCTCTTAAACTTTTTGGATTAAATTCATAAGCTTGTTCTTTCTGTAAAAGTAACATTCTGAAATCTGAACCTCAGCAGTCAAAACTACTGGATTAAACAACTTGCTGCACATGGAATGGTGGAAGTATGGACTGGAAAACCAAATGAGGCTATACAATCAAATCTTACCTACTGCCAGTTCAAATTGGGCAGTGGTTAGCTCTGTTGCCTCACAGCAATAAAGTCCTGGTTCAATTCCTGGTTTGGACCTAAGTCTTTCTATGTGGAGTTTACTTATTCTCCTCGTGTTTGTGTGGGTTTTCTTCGAGTACTCTCGTTTCCTCCCACAGTCCTAAATATGCATGTTAGGCTGCCTTCAGAACCAGGCTTTCCTTGCAAAGAGATCTATTGTCTCTCTGGTGAAATAAAGGTTTATAAATGAGTAAATAACAAAATTGATAACGATAGCACAAAAAAGGAAATTATTTTTGTGTGGGTATGTCCATGCATTTTCCAAAGGATCACCTGGAGCCTCCCAACGAATTCCAACATCAAAAAGCTGTAACTTCTCAATGCTTCGACATGCATCAGTGATTGCTCTGATAAAAAATGATATCTGGAGGAATCATGTTCTGTATCAACAGTCACTGTCAGCGTGATTGAAATACAGTTCATGCATAAACAGTCAGAAAATGCACAACAAAGTACCCCCACACAGCTGAAAGACAATAACTTTAACCTTGCTTAAAAGTATGTACATATCCTGTCTGTCTGTCCGTCCGTCCGTCCGTCCGTTGGATATTGCCTCTGGAGAGACCATAGATTGACCCATTAGGCACTCAAAAGGGGAGGACCTATACAGTTTTTTGGACACTAAATTGAAACCACTTATGTGGGCACCTCCCAGTTTTTAATAGTTTTCTGAAGATTTGGAGAGTCACACAGAGTGGAAGTCTAAAATGGCCAAGAACCACAAATGCACCGTCAGATTGAACTTTATTATGTTTAGGGCTGGGTACCTGTCTAAAAAAAATCGGTATCGGTACTGGTGTCGGTCCCTTCACTTCGGTGTTGGTTCCTGGACGTTTTTTTTTTTGGTACCAATTTTGTAATTACTATTAATTCTAACAAGAATAAAATTACGCAACACATTACAGTACAAATCGTGAGTTTTATTTTTTAATTTAGGTATTTCCATTCCAAGCAGGAAATTATTTGTTTATTTTTATGTAAGGAAATTACATAAAAATAAACAAATAATTTCCAGGTCAAAAGAACAGTTTCAAACCAGTGACACTTCAGTGTCTAATGCTCACTGCTACACACTGAGGACCTTTTCACTTCAGTTTTTCTTCAGAAAAATCAACATGTCTGCTTTCTCTGGACACAAACAAGCCCGCTCCTGGCTGATGGTGTCTCCAGCAGTAGAAAATGTTCACTCTGAGGGTGTGGATGATGCTTGTTGCACACACAGATACCTGGTTGTCAGTTTGATAGCACTGGCATATTGTCCCTCACATTCCACCAGCAGGTCACTGGATTCACTGAGGTTAGGGTTGATGCAGACTTCTGTAGCTCTGTATCTCTTCCTGAATCTTCTCTGGGGTTCTCTGGGGTTTAGGGCTCTTATCGTCTCCCTAAATGACATTAGAACAAAACATCAACAGTAACATGGTTGCGTTATTATTGCTCATAAACTATTATCTAGGCTGAGAAATAAAAGTTTAACTGTCAACAATATCCTTTACAGTTTACTTACCTCCACCATGCAGCCTCCACTGTAGAAAAAGGCAGCAAACTTTTAACAACAAAGTTTGTGACTGTCCTGTGGCCCCCACCTCACTTTTCTTTTGTCTGTCATCCTCACATCAGGGTCAGAGGCTCCTGTGAGGAGAACATTAACGGTGAATATTAGGTGAACTGTTCAACAAGCTGACCATGAATGAGCACATTTTTACAAGCTAAGCTTCATCTGTTACTGTCAATCTTTCGTTAGCTTTTGATTTTAGCTAGCTACATAACCATAAAATAAAGCTACACTAATATCTTAAAGTTAACGTTACATGGATTCTAGTTTAATTCACCGCAATGCATGTATTAAGTTGCAGTAATGTTAACAAACGAAAACTTACCAGCTGAAATCCCACACACAGCTCCCTCCTCGGAGTTCTTTGATGAAGAGGAGTCCGGTTGTGGAATGTTGATTCAGGCCGTTCAACACTCACAGGCTGACTTTAACGTTGAGAGGAGGAGGGGGGGAGGCTGCTGTCCTTCTCTCTTGCAGAAAAACACGGAGCGACTTTCTGCTCATAAATTGAAGCTGTTCAACAACACGCGCTGCACACGTGAACCCCGTCTGTGGGCGTAACCAGCACCATAGACATACAAGCTGTACGGCAGCTCTATACAGCTCTGGGTGTAAACACGCCATCTGTTTGCTATATGTCTGCGTTTGACCTGCCGGCATGCAAAAACCACGTGACACGTTACAGCCAATACTGAAACTTGACACAGAAAGAAGAGTGATGTTTCAATCCATACACCGACCGACGCAGTTCGGTCGGTGCCATAAAAGAACCTCGGTTCGGTACTCAGCCCTAATTATGTTTATAATTCAGTCTAACTGCTTTCCTCCTTATAAAGCTGGAGCTTTTGCCAGAGCCAGGGCTGCAGAGGTGCGCGCCATGCTTAAAGCCGTTACCAAGACAACAGCCAGCAGCCACGTGTTTCAAGCTCTGCCCAAACACATGAGGCGACGGGCCATGAGCCACAACACCAACCGTCTTCCTCGCCGACTGAGAGACATGGCCAACAGAATGGTATTATCTACTGTTTCATTTCCATTCTAGATGCTTGTGTCATCACACACTTTATCTCCTGTTCATGCAGAAAATGACCGTTTTTGAGTATTCATCGCTGGCATTTATTTTTTTCCACAGCGGGAGAAGGGCCTCCAGGCCAGCTCAAAGAAGAAAGAACCTGCAAAAAACAAAAGCCGCAAAGCTCGCCGGCGGCACGGAAACCTGCTGCTGGAGTTCAATCGTCGTCAGAGGAAGAACATTTGGCTGGAGACGCACATTTGGCACGCCAAGCGCTTCCACATGGTTAAGAAGTGGGGTTACTGCCTCGGGGACAGACCCACAAGTAAATGTTATCGACCATGCTACAGAGCCATGAGCAGCCACTGCCTCCTACAGGTAACTACACCAAACTAGTTCTTCTTTAGTGGACACGAGAGGACATCATTACTAGCAAACTGTCCTAACCTGTTTGGTTGTGTCTACTCAGGATCTTTCTTATTATTGCTGCATTGAGCTGAAGGGTGAAGAAGACAAGTTGCTGGCTGCTCTGTCACAGCTCACCAACAAGGAGGCAGGTAAATGCAAATATATAATTTTTTTCCTACAGTCTTCTAAAAGCTCTTGTAACTGGTTTCCTTGTACTCTTTGTTTCATTATTTGCCACAGAAAGGCCAAGGTGTGGACCACTAGGCAAATTTTAATGGAACTTGCAGAAAATAATGTTTGAGTGTACATCTTCAACCAATTGAGCTGATTGATTTCAGCTATAAACTAACTAGAGTAAATCTGCACTTGCGTAGCGCTAGCTTAGCTTGGGATGTGTGAGAGAAGCAGAACGCTACGTCTGTAGCATCTTAGTTAGACTTAAAGTCATTGTTTGTGATAAATTGTGTCTCATTAGCAATGTTTACATGGGCATAAGTAATCGGATTAAACGACCGTTCTGAATAAAAATGTGTCATGTAAACGCCCCGTTCGGGCTATTTTTTGTTTATTCAGCGCGATCCGAAAGAATTTGTGATCAGAACGAAACGGGTGGTTTACGCCGATTCATAACTAGTGGTGCACCGATAAATCGGCCCCATTTCCTTAATTTTGGGAAATCGGCCAATACTTGCATGAAACACCGATTTTACCAATTTTTATTTATTTTTTTTTTTTTTTGTGGTTTTAACAACAATTGTCTAAACTTCATTTATATTTCAGAGCATTACCTTTTGGCCAGTTAAAACAAGTTTGTATTGTTTCTAGGATATTGTTCAAGGGTATGTTTTTCAACAAAATAACATTGGAAAATTGAAGGTGCATTGTGACCTTATAACCCCTGACAGTGTCGCTTATAAAACAAAATCGGTATGGGCAGGTCAGACTTTTTAGAAATCGCTGATCGGCCAGAAAATTGCAATCGGTGCACCCCTATTCATAACCCGAACGGTGTCCATGTAAACACTTAATCTGTTCATTTTTTTCCAATCGTGAAAAACTGACCTGCCATGTGCGACCTATGTCATTTCCTCCTGGCTAATGCTAATAATGCTATTAATATTAGCAAAACTGGTCGGTGAGCGACACAACATTTCTTCTAGAAACTTTGAAATAGCTCAAAATGATCTGTATTACCTGTAGCTCAGACAGGGAGTGCAGTAACGTCTCCACCGTCATTAAAACCTGTCGCGGGTCCATTTTGGGCGCTCAGGTTTGTTTACATTCATCACGGAAGTAAACCGGAAGTAGAACTTCTTCTTCGGTGGTTTCACCTGGTGGTGGGTGGGTTAAATGCAGAGACTAATTTCGCCATTGTATGGAAACATACAGTGCTGACATTGTGATGACATTATTATTATTATTATTATTATTATTATTATTATTATTTTAAGGAGAGTTTACCGCTCTGTGCATGTCAGTACTTCTGTTCAAAATCAGGGCCCGCTGCATGTAAACGCTCGTCATGAACAGATTGTGCCCATGTAAACGATGCATTTGAATTATTTAATCTGAAAACATTTCACTCCGGTCAAAGAATTTTGCGCATGTAAACATAGCTAATAATTTCATTATCTTAACCAGAGGCGTGAGATTAAAAAACAGGATGATGAATATATGGACTATTTGAATGAGGTGTCTCTAAAATAGTTACTGACTCAAGTGTTTACTTATGTAGGTAAACATAGATGTTTAACAACCTGTTAAAATACACCAGAATGCAGAAAATGGCATCTACTTTATTCAAAATAAAGGCACAGAACCCCTCCCCCAACACCCACAGTACAGGTGCTAGGTTTGTCACCTTTTTCATCTAGGAATGTGCGATATGGCATAAAATTCATATCACGATATGTATTGTCAAGGGTGGCGATAACGATATATATCACAATATGTTTTTGGTATAAAACTTAATAGGAATTTTAAAGCATAGGGTGTCCTTTTGCCATCATATATTTTGAATAAAAAAAATGCCACTACTAGGTCCAGAGAGTTTTTAAATAATAAACAAATCAAGTATTAGGCTTCTTTCTTGTAGTGCAAAACAGTGCAAAATATATCAAATGTAGTTTTAGCCATATGTTTTAAACTAAAAAATATGTTGTTAACTCTTAACAGTTTCCAGTATTCTCACTTAAGAAATGAACAGCAACAGAGCAGCAACTGAAAACACTTCACCCTCCAACCCTCTAGTGGGCGACTCCTTCTGCTTTAATGGAGAGCTGACACACAATGAGTCTGTGGCTTTGACCAGAGGGTCTCGCAGTAAAATCACACAACACAGCGTTCTTATCACAGATCAGAGAACAGGTTCCTCTAAAACTGACCAACGCTTACTTTAACTTTCGACCGAGACAAAAACAAAAAAAAAAACAACTTTCGACGGAACTCAGCGTTTTGCACATGCGTCTGAATACGGCAAATCTACGGCAAGCTGGCTGTAGTTAGCTTGTAGCTTCGCTACTTAGCTCTCGAAGAAAATACTTTAATGCCACTTGCGCACAGTTTTCAACTAAAAAAAGTAACGATTAAATCTGACTGCTCTGATTTTACACTTGAACACCACTTCACACAGTTTTCAACTAAAAAAAGTAACGGTTAAACTGACAACTCTGATTTTACATCAGATGCAGCATTACTGCGGTTAGCCGGTAGAAGACAGATATCTATATCGTAGGATAAATTTCTATCGTTTCTACCATGTACTGTATATATATCGCGCATTCCTATTTTCATCCCATATGAGTTGCAGGCATGAACATAGCTTTAAGTCAGTTTTACAGATACTGAACTGAAAGTGGTGTGGCTGTAGATGAGTGATTCACAACACGTACTCTGAGCGTGACGTCTTGCTGTATTACATGAGGTTGCATGTGTGATTTTCAATGTTTGACCAAAACCGCTGCAGCTCCATCATTTCTCAACATAACATGAACTTGGTTTTAAACTGGTATGAAAGGCAAGGCAGCAAGTGATGCCCCCCCCCCCCCACACACACACACACACAAAAGGTTTTTTTTGTTGTAAGAATGTTTTTTTCATTGTGGAGTTAAAAGCTGTGGTTTGTTTTCAGGTCCTACTTTTGCTGCAGGCCTGTGTCTGTCAGGTTGCAGACAGGGCAGTGTTACAGTGTACAGAGCAGGACTGTACCCCTCTCAGCCCCTGGGCCCTGTCACCTTTCTCTGGAGGCCACAAACACAAGGTGCAACTCACCGGCAGCTGTGGATTTGGGCTCATCCCACTCTGAAGCAGGTACGGTGGATTTTAAAGGTGCATTAAATTGTTTAAAAATGTAGCATGAGTTGGTATACATGAAATCTCAATTTTCAGGAATGTGTTTATTTTTTTAAATCCAGGATCTTCTCCCAGAATTACAAAGCGTGTGCCAGTGTCATGAGGCTGTGGTTCCCCCAGTTGTACCAGAGGTTCCAGATGCAGAGGTGAATGATGCCCCACAGCCAGAGTCAAAGCCTGAAAACACGTCTGAAGAAAAGCTGAAACGTGGAACCAAAAGGAAGAGGAGCTCTAAGGGCACCAGTGAGCCTACTGTGAAGAAGATTCTGGGAAATGGAACCAGATTACCTGGCACTCCAGTGACCTGGAAGTCCTGCTCAACTGGGATTGTTATAAAGTTAGTGAAGTGTTTAAAATTTTGTCTGGAAAATAAAGTTTGCACAACTTATTTTTCCTGTGTACAATGATGAATGGTTTTAACTTGCGTTGTAACTTTTTTTGCAGTGATCTCACAATGGAGATTGTACGTTATCGCCTGATTGGGCCTCAGTCCCATTCTGTGCTGACTGACACTTTAGAAGCAGCCACAGTCTGTCATGTAAGCAATGTGTTTTCAGCTTGATCAGCCTCTGAAATCAACTAAAACTCTTGAGTAATTGTATAAATTACTTTTTATAAGGAACTGACTCAGTCCCAGTCCTCCCCCCTCTGGTGGCCTCAGCACTGCACAGATGAGAACAAAATGAGCCTGCATCACCAACAAGCAGACGTTTTTCACCTACTGAAAGGTTTTCCTTTTTGTTTGTGTTTGGCTTATTTTGCCAGCTTGTTGACTGTGTGCTTATGCTTGTTGTTTTCTAATTCATCCAGGCATCTTTTCAACTGGAGAGCTCCCCCCAGGCGTAGTGCTGGGCCTGACTGTGGACGACCCCAGGCTGACTTTACCCAGAAAGAAGTGCAAAGTTTTGCCGTGTGTAAGCCAGGCTCAAGGTAAAATCTGTCTTTCTGGAAACGGTGAAATAAAATACATTTTAATCAGTTTTTAAGACTGTATGGAAACATCACATCCTCATTTGCTAATAGAAAACTGACCAATAAAACTCGAGCCTATCCCAGAGTCAGTGTGTTGCTCCAGCTTGAAGTTGTTTCAGTGAGTACACATCTGGTTCTGTGCTCCGGGGGGCCTCTGCCTGACCATGCAGATGTTCCAGGTTCGATTCCTGGCAGGACCCTGTACTCCAAACACAACCTCAGGGACTGACAGCAGCTGATTCAATATATTCATTACATGCCACTTGGTATAGTATGAGAATCTGTCCATCCTGTGAGCTTTACAGAAAACCAAGACAGACCTAATCTGGACAAAAAAAGACATTCCCGCGTCAAAATCAGAAACTCACTTTGGAAACTTGCTGCAGTAAATATTGTTTCACTTGGCAACAAGTTATTTAACCCCAACAGATGCAGTGAGTAGCCTGGAGGTGTCGAGGTCCAAACGAAGGCTCAGAGGGACAGAGCTTTTCTCTTTCTGCTCCAAAATTAAGAAACAATCTCCCTCCTCATCAGACAAGCCCCTTCACTGTCCACTTCTAACACTCTTTTTAAAAGGCATTTTTATTCCCTGGGTTTGACACAGCCAGAGACTTACTGTGATGTATTTTTACTAGTTTTTATTGGTCTTTCCGTTTTAACTGTTGAATTTTTTTTTGTTGTTTTCTTGATTTTACATGTACAGCACTTTCTTACATCTGTGGTTGTTTTAAATTCCTTTATAAATAAAGAAGCAGTAGTAGTAGTAGTACTATAAGTAGTACAAGCAATAGTAGCAGCAGCAGCTTCTCATTCCTTAATCACCATTGTAAGCAAAGCAGCAGATGACGAGATGTTCCCATCATGCCTAGTGAACACATCAGTGGGGGCCTTGTAGAGATCTGGTCACATCATTTGTTAGAAGTTCAGCATGTTTAGCCCCAAACAGGAGGTCAGCTGTGTATCTAAACTAAACTAAATAAACAGGTTTAATCCCAGGACTCAATGGGTTCAGGTAATGAGAGTTAAGCTTTACAAAATTTAGACAAATGGACATTAAACACACAATTCAGTAATACAGATGTTTAAATATATAAAAAAACAAACTTTTGACTTGTACATGTTTACACTGTGCAGGTTTTTATTCAAATCCTCATAGTCAGGTTTACACATTTCTGTTTTGCTTTTGTTGACCTGCTATAATACAAATATCACAAGCTTTCTGAATGCATCTATAAAAGTGTCATCGTTAGGCACAACTTGCACCTGTGAACAACGTTCTGCATGAGTGCTCTGTCTGGACTAATTTTTATTATTAATGGCCATAACTTCACTTTCTAATCTGATGTATGAAACGAGCTTGTGCACCTGCAAGGCTCAGAATAAAGAGACCTAGATTTAAAATGAGGAATATTATGCTGTCAACCACGGGCAAGAATATGTAACTTCAGACAAAGCAGCCTCACAAGATTACATAACCTTGTTTTTTTTAAAAACACAAATGCATATTATAGATATAAAAAAATTGGGCCATTTGCTGGATTTGTGATACTAGTAAGGCTGAGTAAACTGATGTGCACATTTGTGTGGCGTGTGTTTTCAGAGGGTGATGAGAAGAGGAGGGAGCTGATGTTGAGAGGAGTCCCAGCACCATGCTGTCAGAGTTTTCTGTGGGAGGAGTCTGTTCGTGACAACGTCACAGACAACAAGATATCTGAGCAGGTACCATTAAAAATGACGCAACAAAAATTAACTTTTTTTTTCCATGACCATCTCTGGCTTTCCTTGGGGCTGCTCCATTTCTGAAACTGTGCACTCAAAGCTTGAAAGTTGCTTTTCCCTGAAGCATTTTTCTGTGTACTGTCTGAAGAATTTGAACCATATGAGGAGTGACATGCTGGTGCCTGGCTCCAGGCTGAGCCCCACCCCCCCACAGGGCCGAGTTCCCATTTTACTGGTCCATCAGCCTGGAAAGCAACTGGGAAATGAGATGAGCTCCTGGGGTGCTGGATGGGACCTGCTCCTTCCAAAGGGCTGGGGCATGGCCTTCTGGGTCCCACTGGTAGGTACCAAAGACTAACACCAATGTTTTGTTTCCTCATCCCAGGAGGTCAGGAACAGTTCAGCTTCATTCACTGGAGCAGTCAATAGTTTTTTATGCGCTGCAAGGCTTGGCTCCTGTAAGTGTTGTTTTAGTTTGGATAGTCTAAGATAAGATAAATAAATATTTTGCTGCAGATTAAAATAAATTTGACCGTATGTGGTGGTTCTGGAGAGTAGGTTTTACGTAGGTAGTCCACCCTATTTCTTATACACTGAAGTATTCTTCAACAGTAGATGGATGTTTAATGATCAACTAAAATGCTTAATTGCTGGAAAATTTAGAAATGTACGCAGTAACATTCATGTATTTAGTTTTTATTTTTATTTTTTATTTTTACAGCCAATTTAGCTTTGCAAGTACTTTAGTTCCCAAAACTATGCTGCATGCACCTATCAAACCTGCAGCCAACACCCTGATGGTACCTAATCATATATTAGTTACAGGGATGAGAGTTCTCTGTCGCTACAACAAATTTCTGTCATTTGTGATAAGGGGGAAAAACATGTGTGTTTTGTTGTGGCCTTGTTAAATCCATCCAGTCTAATAATGATACAGAGATTGAACTGATGCTGCTTTCAACAGATAAAGAGAACCAGAGCCACAGTTTGAGCCAATCAGAGCACAGCATGTCATGCTGTCTGATACACAGTGCACCCAGAGCAGTGTTCCCAACTTATGGCGCTTTGCCACTGTTTTATTTCTCTGTGCTGCACAATATGGCACCAGTTAAGGCCTCCCCACTGTCGGGATCTGTCCCGCTCAGCCCGGTTTATGGGACCACCTTGTTTGTGGTTCCAAGTGGACTGCTCCAAGGTGATGATTTTGATGTAATCAAATCTTCGAAATCGATCTTCGAAAAGTTGCAGGCTAGATCCCCTGGACCGACAACATTCAATGTGGGTGACAAAGGTGAAGCACCCACACCTGCCTCCACCCTCATCTGTCCCACACTGACCTCCACCCTCTGATTCCCCAGACACCCTAGATAGCAGCTCTGCTCCACACAGAGGGCTGTGGTAGCTTGGTGGTCTGTGGTTGTCAGGAAGGATATCCAGCTTAAAAACAATTGCTGTTTCTTTGTGGGAATTAGTTCAGTGTGGCGACCCCTGAAGAAGGGAGCAGCAGAAAGAAGAAAGAAAAAAGTAAATCTGTCTATTTAAAGTCTACATGATATTTTCGTAATAACAAGATGTTGTTTGGGGTAGGGGGCAGGGTAGGGCTGGACGATATGGCCAAAACTTTTATCACGACATCTTAAAAAAGTTAAATCTGGTCCTCTGGACATTCAAGAATTCTTGAATGTCCAGAGGACCAGATTTAACTTTTTTAGATTTTTCTACCTGGATTATTGAGCATGCATCAGGATATTTTATCACGATATATTTCTTAATTTTGGTCGATAACGATATAATTCGATATCGATATAAACAATATAAAAGCCTCAGAAAAACTACAAAACTATACAAATAAATTAATGTTCACCTTTTATTTGTATTTAGCCTTCAAAAACATTGAAATCACTGTCAAATAAACATAAAATTCTCAATTTTGTCAATATTAATAGTTTTAACTTTAAACAACAACTTTAAAATTGACAGCATTGAAATTCGTTGTTAATGAAATAAAATTTTTGGGTGTCGTTACTGATGAGAAGCTGACATGGAAATCTCATGTAAAATACTTAAAAATAAAAATAACAATCATTTGCATTACTGTATAAAGTAAAATAGTTTTGAATGACAAAGCTTTGTATATATTGTAGAATGTAATGATTGTTCCCTATTTAATCTACTGTATTGAAGTTTGGGGAAAAGCAAGTAAAACAATTACAAACCCTATTTTTATTTTACAAAAAAGAGCTATAAGAATTATTAGTATTATGAAGCGCTATGGTCACCCAACAAATATATTATTTCATCAATTGAAATTATTAAAATGTTATGATTTGGTTGAATATAGTATTTTACAAGTCATGTATAAAGCTCATAAAAATATTAGCCCCAAATATTCAATTAAAATTTGTAAAAAATAAATATAAAAAAAGGAGAGTCAATATAACTTAAAGGAATGTAAATGTTTGTAAAACCTCCATTTAGAACTAGTGTGAAGGAGCTGTGTTGTAATTCAGGGAACAGGATTATGGAATTGTCTTGATATCACCATAAACATTTCTAAAACAATTTATATGTTTAAAAAATGATAGTTAAAGTTGTTGGGAAGGTTTAGGACCAGGTGAAGGATACCTGAAGTTTTTTTTTGTTTTCAGTTTGGAGATTGTTCAAGTCAAGGTTGTTGTTTGTTTGTAGTTATTTTGTATTTTTTAAATAAGGGGCAGATAAGAATCATTTTCTTCTTTCTGCAACCTTTTCATTCAATGTTTTTTTTTTCTTTGATGAATTTGTTTTATTGTAAATGAATGAATAAATGATAAAAAAAAAAAAAAAACATGCAGTGATGGGGGAGTTTCAGGGACACGTTGGCTCAAACTTTTATTGTGCTTCATCTTGTGACTCATCATCTTCTGTCAAGTGGAACATGTTAGATGTTCCAACCGCTAGTTAGAACGACTCTCCGTCACATTTTGCAGCACACTGACTAAAACCTGCAGTTTATTGGATCTTAGAAAGCCGAACCAATTCCAAACCAGCAAATTAGTCTTTTCTCTCTTATCAGTGATGTCATCTGCTTCTCTTCGCTTGTGAAAGCTTGTTCAGTCACATTCTGACGATCATGGGCACTCATTTTGAAGAGAAAACAACGCGCATTGGAGATTAGCCTAGCTTAGCCTGCTACTGCTAACGCCTTCTGGACTCGAGCTCTGCGTAACATTATGTCACCACGCACTTACGTAGTTGTGTCGCACCTTTTTCAGTCTGGGTGGAAACTGAAGTGGCCGCTTCAACCCGAACAGAAAACGCTGTAATCCTATCGAAATATCGAAAATGTGCTTAAAATTTATATCATCGTTATTGAATAAAAGTATATCGCGAGATATATCGATATCGAATTATTGTCTAGCTCTAGGGCAGGGTGGTGTTTTGGTTTTGTAGGCAGGGCGCTTGGTTTTGTTGACAGGGCAGGGCACCCTGCTTGTATAATGATAGGGGACACACAGCAGTTTAAAAAGGCTGCTGTGAAACATTTTTAGTTATTTTTTTATTTTTTTATTTTAGAAAAAGGTGTGAATTTAGTGCTGGGAGGTGCAGAACTCTGCACCATGTTTTGATACATCGTCCATGGTTTGATACATCGTCCATGTTTTGATATATCGTCCATGGTTTGATACATCGTCCATGTTTTGATATATCGTCCATGGTTTGATATATCGTCCATGTTTTGATACATCGTCCATGGTTTGATATATCGTCCATGGTTTGCTATATCGTCCATGGTTTGATATATCGTCCATGGTTTGATATACCGTCCATGTTTTGATATATCGTCCATGTTTTGATATATCGTCCATGTTTTGATATATCGTCCATGGTTTGATACATCGTCCATGTTTTGATACATCGTCCATGTTTTGATACATCGTCCATGGTTTGATACATCGTCCATGGTTTGATACATCGTCCATGGTTTGATAAATCGTCCATGGTTTGATAAATCGTCCATGTTTTGATACATCGTCCATGTTTTGATACATCGTCCATGTTTTGATACATCGTCCATGGTTTGCTATATCGTCCATGGTTTGATATATCGTCCATGATTTGATACATCGTCCATGATTTGATACATCGTCCATGTTTTGATACATCGTCCATGTTTTGATACATCGTCCATGGTTTGCTATATCGTCCATGGTTTGATATATCGTCCATGATTTGATACATCGTCCATGTTTTGATACATCGTCCATGTTTTGATACATCGTCCATGGTTTGATACATCGTCCATGGTTTGATACATCGTCCATGTTTTGATACATCGTCCATGTTTAGATATACTGTCCATGTTTTGATATACCGTCTATGTTTTTGGATGTTTTCCTTCGGCCATGTGCCGTGAACCTTCACATTTAAGTTTGCCTTAAGTTTTATAAAAGTCTAACTCCTTCTCTGCCTTGTTGGTCCCCTCCCTCAGGTGTACAGAGGAGTGCGTGTGGCTGGGCTTCACATGAGTTTAAAACACTCCCAAAATAAAGCTGTTCCTCACTTCCCCCATGACTATCCTGACTGTCCTGCAGGCGTTCGCTTTCAGGACGAGCAGGAGGCTGAGTTCTTGGACAAATTCAAACGGTCAGCAGAAGATTGATTTGGGTGTACATCAAAATGTCAATGCTGCCTGAATTGTTTGTAGAAGATGCTAAAGAATTGTTTTCAGAGGAATCTTGTGCTGCCAAAGGTTTTGTCTACCTTGCAATATTCAGATTTTTGGAGATATAAGCTTATAGATAATCTGAAGGATTTACTTGGATCTTGTATATCTTTCTGAAATGTTTCCTAGTTATAAATAGTTACCTTCTGGCATATAAAATAATGCTTTCTAGTTAAAAAAAAAAAGTTATAATGAATCTGCAGTGAAACTACTAATACAGTCTAGCTGTATGAACCTCTTTAAGGAAAAGATTACGATCACTAATCTGCAGCTTTAACTCCTCAGATTGTAATAAGGTCAGTTTTTTTTTTTTTTTAGATTTTATTGTAAAGAGGTTCTTTAGACTCCAGGTAATGTCAAAAAAGTGGATTATTTTGTTCAAATTCTGCTCCTGGACTCAGATGTGATGTGCAACCAACAATGGCAGAGTTTCTCCATCAGCTTGACAGGATGTGATCTTTTAACCTCTCCCTCAGGCGTCCACCAGCCAAAAGGACCAATTACATTAAACATGGCTGTCTGGCTCCTTTCCGTTGCCCTTGGCAACAGCTGGCAGAGGAGTGGGAACTCCTTATTAAAGAGGATGGGCAGATACAAAGCACAACAAAAACAGATGCTTTGGTAGAGGAGATGACATCACAACAAAACATCGCCATGACTAAAACTCCGAGCTGTTTTACTGTTCTCAGGTAAATATTTGTCTTTTTATCGTTCATGAAAATCAGCAGGCATCAATATATACATTAAATACCCCCTGCAGGGTCTTCAGTCGCTTTTCAACCTTTAATATTTTACATATTTTGAACAGATTTCAATGAAACTGTCAGAAAATATTTGGTGGATGTGCATTTACAAAAGATTAACGTGGAGCCAACTCTATTCAAAATGGCTACCACAGCTAACTGGTATTAGAAAAGAATAAAATAGTTACAACTTAGTCGGTTTTAAAGATTTTGAACTGAAATGTGGTGTATTAGTGGTTGAGCAATACCTCCAACACAGAGTTAGAGCACAACACAATGTGCAGTATTTTACTTACAACTTTGGCATTAAGGGTTCATGTCAACCCTGTCTGTTAGCAAAATATCCCATCATGCATTGGACAACTTTAATCAACTTTAGAAAGATGGCAACTGCAACTAATTAAAATTAGACAATACAAAAATGATTTGTTCAGTTTATGTGGTAGTACCTGAGAGTCATTTACAACATGTACTCTGAGGATGACATCTCATGAGACTGCACATACTGTTTTTTTTCAGGTTTTGATCAAAACAGCTACAACTCCATCTTCTCATCACAACTTGACCTTAGTTTAAAACTTTGATATTAAAGGCAGTGGGCGGTATGCATTCCTGTTTTCATTTTAATAATGCTGCAGACTTTGAAAATTCTTGGGAGCTGAATATGCCTCACTTTACAGGTCTTGGACCGAAGCCATCGCTTTTATGTTTGTTTTTGGTGCCCGTTGTGGAGCGAAAAGGGGGATTTGGAAATGCTGTCCGTGCTGTGAGTGCGATAACTTGAAAATAAGCAACAAACTAATTATGGCGTTTCCCTTACCATTATCCTAGGAGGGTGCCCCACCCTGTCAACAGAACCGAGCGACACACCTATCAAATCCCCCCACTCCCCACTCTGCTCTGCCACTTCCACACAGGGAGCGGAGACCGTAGAAGCTCAGCTCAGACTCCAAACCGAGCGCAATACAAAGTTAGCATTCCTCTATCCCTCTTTACACATCACCCCACTGACAACTGCCGCCACTAACGTAGCGCTAAGCTAGCATGCAATACAGATGTAGTGTTCTGCTTCTCTTTCAAAATCCCCCCTCCTCCACCATCGACAAAACCCCCCAAAGAGACGAGCGCCCTCCCAATCTAAGTGACCTAGAGGGAAGCACTGATATTTGTTTATGCACACCTGCCACAACTATCATTTGGCAAAAGTATAACTTCCTGAAATTATTGGGGTGGTCGTTAGGGTGGCCATAGATAGGATAGCCAAGGCCACCATTGACCACCCTTTGGCTCCATCATTGCACTTGATAACAGGGCTATTCAACTAAACACCAGCACAGCTTTTAACAACATTGTTGAGTTTCTCCAGTTTATTTACCTTTCACCAGAACGTCTGATGAAAATACCTGAAGTACATCCAGCCTGCCACAGCAGCAATACATCACACATTATCAGAGGAAGTGCACCATCCGTCCTCATGAAACCTCATAAGCTTTAAGTAATGGGAGTTACTTCACAAGGAAACATTTGATTCTCAGTCCACTGGTTGTTTTTATTGTCAGCATAAGGAATTATAGAATGTGTATCTCTGTCAGGCGTCTAATGAGGAAGATGAAAATGTATTTTTTATCCTCCGTGGTGATCACCTGTTCTAAGTGGATACTATGTTTTATGTTTCACCTCTCAGGAACAGGAAGTCTCTGAGGCTTCTGTCTGCTTGGTGCAGACCCACGACATCAAAAGGACAGAGGCTGTGTCGTGCTGTGAAGGTGCCCCCCCTCAGCCGGCCTGCGGCGACAGCTTTCCTTGCAGCTCATGGGTCGAGTCTGGTGTGGGTGCGCCTGTCGCTGTTCTCCAAAGGAAAACCGGAAATCCATGCCATGGTGTGTGTACCGAATGCAGAAGACCTGAAACTGCTTGTCAGGAACCCAGTAGATGGAGATCCCCAGGAGCTTCCACATAGAGACCATTTTAAAAGCAGAATCAAACGTCAGAAGAAAGGCTCCAAGAAAACAGCTACCTGCTCTTTATCTACTCATGAGCCTGAAGGCAAAGACCTTCTGTCTGCTCCGCTCACATCCACAGCTCCCCAGTCTTCCTCAGACCTGATCTTTGGGCTGTGGCCTGATCCTCTGCCAAGTGTCACGTCTCACTGCTCTCGGGTGACTCTGGGCTGGGTGACTCAGGGGGACTTCTCACTGTCTGCAGGATGTGGGGAGGCTCTCGGCTTTGTTAGTGTCACAGGTCTCCTCCACACCCTGCTCCAGCAGGCAGACGAACACAGAGGAACGCTGCTGATGCGCAACCCCAACTCCCTGCGCTACCGCCTCACTAAGGCCAACATCGAGGTGTGATCCAAACACACCGACCTGTACAAACTGGAGCCTAAAACTGCAGCAGCTTGAACATGCAGCCAGTCGAGTCACTTCAAGTTTAATCTAAAACTTGTGCCTTTGATGACGACGTGCCCAAAACCAACACACCTGGTACTTTTTTCACTTGTACACATCCTCATTGTTTCAGCTGTTCCGTTTGTACATGCAGAATTGTTCTACGGTAGCATCTTACTGGGCTGTTTGCCTAATCCGCGAGTCGTAATTACAAGAAAATGGGCACATTGTTTTAGTAGTGTTTGCACTCATGATTAGCCATGTCTGTTTTCTGCAGCCAACCTTTTCAAAGGACCTATTTTCAGGTGCTTGCATTGAGAAGCTGTATTGTAGGCCAATCACAGTATTTTGTTGCCCACATCATATACCCCCCCCCCCCCCGTTCTTTTTGGAGACTCTTGTGAAAGCTGTTCAACTAGTTGTGTCTGATTTCTCAGATGAGCCAAGATCTCAAATGCTTGCAGTGGTTGGTAGAAATTTTGGTTTTAATCACCTTTGAGTATTTAGTTTAATTTAGTTAATTTACCTTTTGAGTGTTTGGGTTTTCAAAAGGATATCATTTTACCTGTTTTACATTTCTCACTACGCAGACGGTGCCAGGAGTTTTAGTTCTGTTTGTTGGGGATGATTAAATGCAGAAATATATTGGCCTCTGTTTATAAAATACTGTTTCTGTTTGAATATCACCCAATAAAAAAGTGAACATATGTCTGTTGAACACGGCTGTTAATATTGTGAACAAAACTGTTAACGTACGCTGAAGCCTTCTGTGAATAAACACATCGAACAACAGATACTTAAACTTTCAGTCCTTTTTTTATTTTCATTGGCATGAGCTGCGGTTTCCCACACATCCCATAATGTGTAGGTGGCAGAGAAGAGTTTTGTTGCTTGGCAACACTACGGTTTGGTAGCAGTTCTTTTAAGTATGCAGTGTGAGTTTGTCTGAGGTGAAGATGGGCGGTGAGGCCGCGCACAAGAGCTTTTAAAACGAGTTCTAATGCACCTCGAGATGGAGCTCAGTGATGACTGTGTATTTTACCACAAAGTGTCAAATTAAAGTGTCGGCTGCTTCAAATAACACGAGGAATGAGAAGAAAACATGACTTTAGAGACATTTTTTTAATTTGAAATTGACATCGGATCATAAAACAACAGGAACAGATGTGCAAGTACGAGTCCCTCTCCCACCGTTAGAGGGCAGTAGTGCTCTTTCTGAATGCTTGATGTGATATTCTGTTGTCTCATTAAACAGCTGTTTAAACTACCAGCTCTATCCACCTGATAAACCTTCAGTTAAACTAAAATACTTTTTAAACCAGCTCTTAAAATAAAAGTTACTACTGCTGAGGCAACTGAAGCTGTGATCCTGAAGTGTTCATCTTATTTTGGAGCGAGCTTTTACTCGAGAGATATTTCTGACAGGTTAAAAATAGTGCTGAGACATAGATCTCTGTTCAAGAATATATTTGTTTATAAATAGAGTATTTGTTGAATCCAGGGACACGCACAGAGTCTAAAATGGTCCCAGCAGATGGAGCTGGGTCTATGAGTCGTCTGTTTGGCCAGCTCGGTTGCACATGAATTTGGCTGCCAGGGATCCGTATGTTTGAGTCTTTGCCTCAGGCTGCACTTTGTCAGTGCGACTTCTCCCTGTGAACACGGACAGCACAGCTCATTAGACGGACCCTTCTGCCACGGCTGCAGACATTTACAGTCAGCCGGATCCAGGGTCACTGCTGCTTAACTCGTTCCATCTCTGCCTGGGTCGTTTGACGTGACACTGCTGTGTGAGGACACATGATTAAAAGAAAAACATACCAGGAATCATATCCATTGCAATAAAATTGCCATCTTGTTGCTTTATCTTTGGCCTGTTTCTGGCTATCAGGAAAACTCCGATAAAGGACAAAAGACAACTGGAAGAGAGTTTCAGGCAGGGTTAGTGTCTCCTGACTAAAATATTCTTAGAAGCTGCAGTGAAGCAGAGCTTACCCAAACAGGAACATAAAAATATTCAGCAAAGCCAAGCCTTCAAATTCCTGGTAAAATATTATACCTGCAACACAAAAAACACATTATTTTATAGAGAAACAACACAGTTTATCTCACACTTCTTAGAAACAGCTCCAAACATTTTGAGCATACTTTAATGGTGATGGTGATTTCTGCCCTGTTAACAAGGATTCACAAACACGTTCACGTTCGTTTTGCACTTTCATTGTTCACAAATTGGCAGCTGGGACCATCATCAGGCTGAAACAAAAACATTAATTTTCTTTACAGTGGAGCTAAACTAATCTTGAGAGAAATCCACCCACAGATGTTCTTCCTTATAATACAGCTGCAATTTTTTTTGCTCAGAGGAGTCAAATGTGTGTTTTTTTTGCATCGGCAGACAGCAATAGTAAAACAAAGCTTTTTCACAAAAGGTGAGAGTAACGCCACGTATCTTGTGGCTCTGTGTCTCCTGTGATGGCCATGTCCCTGTGGGATTATGGGAAGTCTGAGCAAAGTGTTAAGAAAGAAGCCATTTATCTTCACTGTTACTGGAAACAGACTGACAATACGTCAGATGTGCCGCAAATAAAAGGTAGTTTTGAAAAGTGACGTCCACTCATGCCACTAAAATAGGGTTTTAAATTGTGACAGTGTTTTTTGTTGTACTTTCTGCTTACAGACCAAACCACTTTGAAGAAACCTTTCTTGTTATTTTCTGGACTTCCTGACAACATAACACAAACCTGCCATGACACAGTTCACTGACCATAAATACGCTGAACCTTTTGATGAACAAGGACTCCTGAGTGACGATTGCAGGAGGAACTCGCCACCTAGACTACACCTTGTTACACTGTATAGAACGTTTGACAGTGTTGAATCATGAATGGATTCAACTTGTGACTCATCATGAAATAATGAGGTTCTCTCTCTCTGAAGAGTTTGTGCCAGAGGAAATATAAAAAATCTTGCAGGATGTAGTGGTTTGTTCTGAGTTTCTGAACCAAATCCAGCAATATTTGACAAAACCTGCTTCTGACTTTTGTCTTTGGTTTTCATACAAGCTGAGAGTTGCATGGGTTCTTCATAACTACAAAGACTTTAACAAAGATGAACTCCTAGCTTGCCATTTCCACATGGGGACAAAAGCTTCCAGGTCTCTGGGTACTTTATCAGAGACCTGCGAACTCAATGGTTCTGCACAGTATCTTTAGTTTCCAGGACTGTGTTCTAATGGACAGAGGTTTCTGAGGTTGTTCTTGGGATCTGATGGGGCTACTCTTCCAATATTGGGGTAAAAGCCCCAAGTGCTCTGACCATGAAGGCCTTGACGTTCTACAACTTCTCAATTTCACCTTTCAATCCTTGGTAAATTTTTGTCTTCCTTCTTCTCGATGTTAGAGTCACATGGTTAGCCACCACCTGTTGCAGACTACCAAGAGTGGTGGCAAATGACTGGGCTAAGGTACTGAGGGACTTCCAGATCCAGACTGACAGTCTCCAATGTACACAGTTGGACTTTTCTCTATACTCAGCACAGCGGCCCATCACTCTGATGAGAAGATATTTATGGTCAACAGCAGAGAACTTACCATGTTGGAACCTTACTATACAAGCCAGCCCAACAACAGGTTATATGCTGAGGAATTATAGAAACTTTGAAACACAACATCAGACTGATAAAGGAACAACTTCAGGCCCATTGTTCCAGTGTTCTCGCATTTTATATATTGATGATGTACAACAAAGATGCTATAAAAAGGATAATCCAGGATGACAAGTCATGGGGTAGGAGGACATTATCATCCTTATGTAAAAACCTTGACAATCTGAACATAGCACATGCTAAGTTGAAGCTGAAAAACATGATGAAGCTAAACACCTATGGCCTTCACCCCTTGTCAAGGCAAAGTGATCGTGATACTATATGAAAGTCTGCTAGTAGCAGTGAATCCAGTGTCTGTGATCATGGAGCATGTGGAGCAGCTGTGCCTCCTAAACTGAAACAACCTCAGACATCTCTGTCCTAGGGCCAGCTGAGATCTCATATTGAGCCCTCAACTCTTAGGCCTTTGGTAAAGGACCTGAGCTCCAATGAATTGAAATTGCCCACATGGAAAATATGGATTGGAAAAATTTGTGCACAAGTACTTGGAATGTCTTGAAAATAAAAAGAATGCCAAAATAATCAGTCAGCGATGAACAATAATACCAATATTAACAGTAATAACAAACTCTATTGTCATAGTACACTACAATGAAACTTTGTTAGTGTATTTTCAGAGGCAGCTACTGTGCATGCAGGGTGGACTGGTTTGCTGTTGCTTCAGCAGACTCTGTGGAAGAAACTGTGTGAGTCTGTTGGTGTGGGCTTGCTGGGGTCTGAGCCTGCTGGAGAGGAGGCTGTAATGTCCTGGGTGGGTGGGGTCATTGTGGATCTTTGTGGTCTGCCAGAGGAGGTGACTCAAGTAGATCTCATCCAGGCACGACAGTGGGAAGCTGACAACCCACTGTCCAAAATCTTGTTTTGGATAAAATTGCTATTAACAAATGGTGCATGCATGTGTATTTCCTCCCTTTGAAGCCTCAACCATCATCTTCAGAAGTCACATGATTAGTTCAATATGATCCACCTGTGGACAAATTAAACCTTAAATAATCTCAGTACGTGTACACATCTGTTCTGGTAGCCCCAAGAATTAACACCAGTGCCATCACCTCTAAGTACCAAAAGATACCATCAAGCATGAAGACCAAGGAAATTTTTACACAGGGTTGCGTTATAAAAATGTCCCTAACCTTGAATATCCCACAGAGCACCAATAAATTTGTGATAAGTAAATGAAAATATTATGATCTGGCCAATCATATAGATTTTTTTAATACTCCATTTTTTATCTGGTGTGTTTTTATCTTATTGTTTGTATGAATGGGAGCTACAGACCACCAGATGATTTCCTTCGAGACCAATAACATATCTATCTATCTATCTATCTATCTATCTATCTATCTATCTATCTAT